ATTGGCCTGACGATTCTCAGATATATACCTGTGTAAGCGTTGGACACGTAGCTGACACTTTCGAGATAAAGAGGATAGGTGATAATCAAAAAGGTAATGGACACGACGACGGTCAGAAGGGTGGCGATGAAGCTGAATTTTTGCCAAGTTGCCCTGTCCGTATCAAACAGCTTATCGGTGGCCTGATAAGCGACATATGGCGAGTCCTCGGTGTCGGTGTACTCCTCGATCTCGATGTCGCTTCCTGTGCACCGGAGCTCCTCTTGCTCCTCGTCGTCGACCATCGTCGAGACGCAGCTTGCCAACCCAGTCAGCTTTGCGATTTACTCCCTCACCTTTCTGACAAATAAAATAAAATCGGACAGATAAATGAATCGAAATTGAACGAAAATTTTAATGTGGTGATATTCAAGGTTGGACACATATATATAATACCGAGTAAAAAAGGGTTTAAAGATAAATAATGGAGAAAAATTCATTGCAAAAATTCTCTCCTCTTTCGAAAATTCCAGATCTCGAATTATTTGACAAATATATTTTGGATTCAATTTCGTTAAGTCATTTATAGACGAAGAATTGGCACACTTTTGTGCAAGAAATATGCATAGATATTGGAAATTGAACGAGGATATTGAGAGAAAGATGTAGAATTGTAAGTCATGACGCTCATGATGCTAAAACAAAAATTGATTATATCTCGAAAATAGCCAAGTTTACGTTTTATCTACGTTTTATTAAAGCTTCTCTGTATACATCTCTGTATACACGATCTATGTTAATCCTTTGTGCACTCTCTCTCTTCTTTCTCGATTTTCTGATTCTCAGCAGAACGAGGATATTTTCTACACGAGATTACAAACAAAACATTCAAATAATAAAGATAAAAGATTGCTTCTACGAATACACTATATATTATTAATTTAATTTTACTCAACTTTGATGACATTCGTCCTCAAAGGGTTGAGATGTTCAAAACGATGTCAAAAAAAAAAAAAAAAAAAAAAAGACACGATAGTAGCACAAATATTCGAAACTAAATATAAATATAGAACGTAATTCGACTTTGAGAGCGCAGTGGAAAATGAGTTGCCGAGCGAGAGGAAATTTCTACCACCACCACGAATTCACAGCGTGCACAGACACTGTTTAGAAGAAAAGGATTTCTTAAAATGTGAAACGGTAGTGGTACGTGCGCGGCAACGAATCCAATGAACGCTTTTTTTTTTTTTTTAA